TGCCTGCTTGGACTGAACACCAGATGGGGACCAGAAATGGGCCAGCTACTCCTTTCTCATGGAGCTCAAGTTAATCATCAGATGGCCAAATTGCCAGTTACTTGGCTTGAAACAAGTTGCAGGCAATTTAACTGAGATTTCAAGAATCAACTTGTATTTATCAGGATTTTTCCTTTGAAGTTCTTCACAGCAACAGAGTCTCAAATCAATCAAAAAAAGGCACTTACGTGATCAGCATAGACTGATTCTCCCGATCTGTGGAGGGGAGAAAAAAAATAAGAGACAAACTTAGTAGGATGTACAAATTGCTTATTATAATTTCAAATGAGTACCAACTACTCCAGAATCAGTCCTGTAAGGACAGCAGAGAATTACATGAAGTAGAGACAGAAAGTTAAAAACTAGTATCACCTAGAATGACCTCCAGCAGTGCAAGTTGTAGCCCTGCCCTGAATCCTCCTCATGTGTTTTGTTCAAATCAGGATTAAAGAACTGTCAGCTGTACACATTCCCCTGTGTCTGGGAAACTATAATAAAGAAAGTAATTTCCTGTTATCAAGACATTTATTCTCTTACTCCTGAGGGTGTCTTTGCTCACATCTGACCCTTCTGCTCCTGAAATACTAGACCAACCCAAGTAATTTTGCTGTTTTTTCACAGACTGTTCCTTATAACGCATACATACTCTTCAGTTGGCCACGCTGCTAGAATGAAATAGCCGGATGTCCAGACCTAATGGCCTGATCAGAAACAAGTATTTATTAGAACTTTGCAACCTTAAATATTATTAATCAAGTTCAGCAAATGCTAAAGCACGGCAGCTTCTCAAGTCATTAAGCTTAAGTTCCTCTTTCTATTTTTATAAAATCCAAACATTACAGCAGGCTACATATTGGACAGCCTTGCTTAAGCTTAAGTTCCTCTTTCTATTTTTTTAAAATCCAAACATTACAGCAGGCTGCATATTGGACAGCCTTGTCTGATGAAAGAGCATCTCCTTGCAACCACACACACATATCCCTACTGCACCACACTATCTGTCCCCTCACAGCTGAGGCACTTTCTGTTTTATTAAAGCAGTTGACAGCCGAATGTGTTCAAGCCAAGTGCCTTTTGGATTTACCCTGCCTTCTCGCAGGACCTGGTGTGAGCACATCGCTGCTGCCCTCTGCTGATAAACTCTTTTTTTTTCCCAGTAATTTGAGGGCACACACATATCCCTACTGCACCACACTATCTGTCCCCTCACAGCTGAGGCACTTTCTGTTTTATTAAAGCAGTTGACAGCCGAATGTGTTCAAGCCAAGTGCCTTTTGGATTTACCCTGCCTTCTCGCAGGACCTGGTGTGAGCACATCGCTGCTGCCCTCTGCTGATAAACTCTTTTTTTTTCCCAGTAATTTGAGGGTCAGGGTGACTGCCCTCTGCTGATAAACTCTTTTTTTCCCAGTAATTTGAGGATCAGGGTGAGAAAATTTTACAGGGAAATCTGAAGTTCGCTGCCACAGGATTGGTGCCTAGAGCTATGGCAGTCGGTGCAACACTGACCCACAGCGTGTTTGTGCAAGTGATGTGTTCACAGCACCCTAGATCTCTGGCCTTCACTAACCCTTGAACACATATATCTTACCAGCGTTAGAATACGGAGCATAAACTGACAGTAAGGTTTATTTTGAGGTTGGGATTACAGACCTTTGGGACATGGCCCCATTTCTGTTACAAACTGATGGATTCACCCAGATTAGACAGCTAAATTTGTGCACCTTAGAGATAATCCATATACAGAGCTTACTGTTACCAGAAGCATCACAGGAACAGGCAGGGGAGTTTAAAAACAAAATAAATGTGTATATACACATATTAAAAAAAATCAGCATAGACTGCCAAGCCCCTGTTGCTTGTAGAGCATTTTCATGTTTGTTACAGGCTGCAAAAGTTCTCCCGAACTTCCATCCGGTACAAATTACATCAGCTGAATAAAATGAAACCCAATTTGAAGCAAACAGTGCCACTTACTACGCAGCATGTCGTGGTATGCGTTGTCAGCAATGGAGAAGATGTGGGGAGGAGCCTCTGAGCGCCTCTTGCCTTTGTATGCAGCAACAACCTCTGGCTTGTAGACAGGCAACCACTTGTAGGGATTTATGGTCACACAGAATAAACCCGAATATGTCTAGAAAGGAACACAAAACAAAAGTGGGGGAAAAAAAAGCCACTCAAGGAATAAGGAAAAAGGTCTTATCTAACCAAGCAGGACCAGCTTCTGATTTGAGTTTGAATTCTGACTCAAATTTCAGCCTTTGATTTGAATTTTTTAAGCTACTGGTCTGGTAATTGACTTCCTATTGGCAATTGATACCAAAACTACAGATTTTGAGCAGTTTTCAAAAGGAGGAATAGTATTTGAGATATCACCCAGAAAGAGAAACAACCTCTTCAGCAAAACAAAAGGGCAGCAAAAAGACCTACACCTGATTTTTTGCCTTGCCCACCACCCAAGAATTGTTTCCTCTTGAAAACAGCCATTATGATAGAAAGTTACAGCTTTCTTGTTCGAATGCCATTCTTAGGAGGAGAAACAACCTCTCATTATTAATTGTATGTGAGCATCTTGGCACAACTGAGACAATTTCTGGTGGGTGTTCGAAGAGATACAACTTCATCGTGTTATACCTCAAAGCTGTGAAGCTTTTTATAGCTTTCGGAGAAACAGAGTTGGTAAAAATCTTTCTAGTTGCTCTTTGGACTATCTAGATCAAATCACTTGGGTCTGGCCATTCTAAGGAAGAATGACCTTTCAGTTGTAAGCCCCAGAATTGGTGTCAGCTGGTAACATTCAGGTACTTAGTCCAGTTTGAGGCAAAAAGCTTCAAAGAAACCCAGTTATTATATATGGGCACAATCACTATGTGCACATAGATTAATGAGCTCAATTAAATTCTAGAAGTTTCAGGTGAAATCCAGCTCTCTTCCCCTAAAAATAGCATTAGGACCTGCCCTAGAATGGCCTTGGAAATCCAGCTCTCTTCCCCTAAAAATAACATTAGAACCTGCCCTAGAATGGCCTTAGTATGAGTCCTCAGTCCTGTTCTCTACAAGGAAAAGAATAAACCCCAACCAGTAAACAGATTAAGGCAAGATGCCAAATTAATTTTTCTACCTACGCAGATCTGCAAACAAAGCTGTGCATTAGGCCATAGAATTCCATGGAGGGGTTATTAGAGAAATGCAGAAAATGTTTGACAATCAGAATTTAAATTGGAAAAAGCTGGATTCACTCCTCTGATGAACACCAAAACCCAGAAAAGGGACTGGCTGGAAAATCTGTAGATTCCTCTTACTCCTCTGATGAACACCAAAACCCAGAACAGGGATTGGCTGGAAAATCTATAGATTCCTCTTGCTAATTTCAGACACAATTGAATGCAGCAAACTGAGAGCAAAATTCTGACCCTGTAAAATTAGGTGCCACTGAATCATGTTCTGGTGCTGACAGAAATTATGTTAATGATATCATGGGGAAGATGCAGAACAAAGGAAAAGGCCAGAGCAAAACAAGACAGATGTTAGCACTGAAAATGAAGGGAAATATAACTACTGAACTAAAATAGAAAGGCTCATGCTTTAAGAAGTTGTGTGTGAGCTCTAAGCTCGAGGCACTGTTTCTTATGAAAGAAATCCCCATCTCTGGTATTCACATGGGTTAGTATCAGAACACAAAAAGTAAACTGGGTCCCTCCAATATCTTGGTTGAAGAAAACATGTCCCACACCACCCCTCCCCTAGGCCAGCAAGCAAAATCCAGGAGCTAGGCACCATCTTATTCATTTGGTTTTGTCTGCCTGTATTCAGATGCGCGCCAGCTCCATGCAACATCTTGCTTGAAAAGATGAGCAAGACCCTCAGTTTTGTGACTTATCAAAGTTGTAAACTGAATGTGAAGAACACAACATGTTCAAACGTGAAGTGTGCACTTGAAATGCAGGTTGAGAAATACACCCTTGTATTGGCCCTTACATAGATCATCCAGTTGGTGTAGCGTTTTTTCAGATTGGACAGCACAGACGCCTCGTTCAGATGGGTCAGCATAGACATGTCCTCTATCATGTCGAATTTGGGAGGGTTCATTGTCTGCACATCATCTTCTTTTAGAGTCATGGTCTGCAAAGACAAACAAGTACAGCAACACTGGAAATTACAGGGATTTTTCTGTTGTCTCACACATCTTATAGGAGAAAATACAACTTTCCTCCTGCAGAGGGAAGTCCTTCAGCTCAATACATGCCTATCTATGTAACAACATTCGTTTACACAGATACCAGAAGAATAGGGGCAGACTGAGATGGTAGAAGTAAGGAGTGCAGTGGTATGGCTGTGAAAGGAGCCATGAAATTTGGCTACAGCCTGAGTTTTTATCTCTGGGGACCAAATCAGAACTGGCTGGTTGCAAACCTCCAGTCACAGACCGCCCACAGCTGTGTGGTGGCTGGTGCTTGCCTGCCCAGCACTGCATTGCTGGGTTTTCATGTGTTATCCTATCCTGATGTGGCATCAGTTACAGGGCCTTCCCATACACTCCCCATTTAACAAAACAGGCAATTGAGCTTAAACAAGGACAGGTAAATTCTGGAGATTGCGGCTCTGGCTTGGTTAGTCATAGGTCAGACAAAACCAGTTTTGTACCCTTCCATCTTCTGTCTGCACGGTCACTTTGCCTCCGCTGGTTTCTGTAATTTCACCTTCAACATAAGCTAACTTGTCATCAGGAACCCAACATCTCTTCTTCCCTGTGAAATTAAGGAGACCAAAGGGTTCACTGCCTTGCATCAGTCAGTAACATCATGCTTAGCTAAGTAAGATTGTTGGGTTACTTTTTCTGCACAAGTGACACAAAACCTCTGGGATTGCAGCAGATCAGCAGTGCTGGGAAGCTGCCTGACAAAGCAGAAGGCACAGAGCTCCCAAATGTTGTCTCCCTTTGAAACTACCACTCATCTTCCTCTAGATCCTTCCAGCACAAGGTGTCAAAATATTGCACAAATGCTGGCTAAGCCTCAGCCTCCATGGGAAACCCATAATCATTATCACCAGTGTGCAGATGGAGGAACTGAGATCCAAGCCCAAATTAAGGCGTTTGCTGAAAAGTCACACAGAGAATTTCAAACTGCGCAAGGAATTCAGCCCACATTATTTGCCTGCCAGCTATCAGATTTAACCTTATTCCTTCATATTCTTCTGAGGTTTGTGTTGAAAACCAGCAGTATTAAGAACTCACATTGAGTTACATATGTGCCTTTTTAGAGTATGGAGTAGCTGCACTAGACTTTAGGTCTTTAGTTACAGCAACTGTTCTGAATAGTGAAAAGTTGCAGTGATTGGTATATTTACCCTTACTGCTATACCTCAGGGCTCATATAAAGCCATTTAATGAAAAATAAATGATGAGAAACTAAAAGCTAACATCAGACTGTCATACAGCCTGCAAACCAAACAAGACTGCAGAACCTCTCATTACAGAACAATAATGTTGTTTTTTGCTCAAACTAACAAAGAGATGATCCTCCCTTTAGCAGGGCAGTACCAATATGCCTTGCATCTAAATCTAGGTAATTACTTACTTACCATAGATTATTTTTATTTAGTAGTACCTGGGGGTTTTAGTAGCTTTGCAGAATAAAGCAACCAGAACTTGGCTGAACCAAGCTACCTCTGACAGCAGCAGCAGCAGCTGCACAGCAGCAACAATGGAGGCTTTGCATCCTGCTTTGCTCTGCATTTCCTTGACTACACTTCGAGGTAACCCTTATCCTTATTAACCAGCCACAGGCAGCACAAAGGGTCCTGAAACTCACCCTCGAAGGCAACGGTCTGAGCCTTCATCAGCTCGTTCTCGCTCTTTCGGAGGAAGGGAGCAGCCTCCCCGAATTCTGACATATCGACCATCATCTTGGCAAAAGTTCAAGGTGGCACAGCTCAAAGAGGAAAAAGAAACGGACCAGGTCTAATAAAGAAAGAGGGAAAAACCACATCTCTTTTGTGAACAGTTCGAGGCAATATAAAACATTCACCACAACATAGCAGATGGCTGATCAAAGTGATGATTGATCTGAAACACAAATACCTAACACAGTTCTGGGGCTATACTACACCCTTAGTAAAATCCTTCCCTGGCCCAGCTTATTTAAAGCCAGCCAGATCTTCCAGGGTTCAAAACCTTGACATGGATCACAATTATCTCCACAGGAGGATTTTATCTTTTCTTTGCCGCACAAATGGTGCTCAAGAGCAGGAGGGACCGCTTGAAGCTGTGAATTTAAAACCACTTAGCAGGGGCCTCTTCTGGCCCCTTTCAAATTCACATGGAGCAGACGTATGTTCTCTAGCAGGTGTCCCTAGGGCTGTGTCACTCAGTTACTTCAAGCACCATCTCAGGAAGGCATTTTCTGGGAATCACAGAGAAAGACTTCACTGCTGCAAACAGAACTGCTGTAATGGGGTGTGTTGCACCCTTGGTGTGACTCCAGGGACATATGCCCATGCTTGAGCTGCAGAAAGTCAGCTCTGCTCCCTGCAGCACACTCCTCTGATTCCAGCAATTGGCATGTTAGAAGAAACAAGACTAACATGGCTCAGGGGATAGTCCTGTGCTGGTGCAGCTTCCCAGGTTGCTGGTACCTCTCAATTTACCAGATTGGGTATGCCCCTGCAGCAGGGCACAGCAGAGGACAAGTGTATCTGAGTATTGGTGCAAGGGCTTCATTTGTTTTTAGATTGATTTGAGTTTATTAGTCCAGCTTAATACCTACACTTGTATTCTCAAATGACAAGGCCACAGTGTTTAGGAGCCTTTTATCATGAAAGAGAGGGCAGGGCACATGAGTGTCAGTGAGACTGATTTGCTGGATTTGTACTGCCAAGTAATTAAGTTTGTGGTTTTGTACTTTCTAAAGTGATCAAACAGATATGTTGGGGTTTTGTTGTTTCTTTTGTTTTTTTGCACACTCTCAAACATAAATACTCATACACACACATATATAAACTACTCAGGGTGCTGTCCACAGAATGTCTAAAAGAAGTTCCACTGCTACAAGGTGTACACACACAATTTTAGAATTTCAGGTATTTTTTTTCTTTAAAGCCAAGACACTATTTGATTACTATTCAAAGATGTAAAAATGACCCTCAGATATTTTATTTATTGCACAATATCCAAAGCAGCTCGATAAATTTTCAAGAGCTCTATCAAGACAGACACTGTAGTTTTTCAAAACTTAATTCAATTTATTTGTAACAAAGTCCTGGTAGGGATAAAAGCTTTTCATCAACTGGGGCAGCCTTTTTTCAACACATTACTCCTGGGGAATGTTGAAGCCCTAAGACTGCAGAGTTGCCAAAGTGTTACATCCAAACCTCTCTCACTGCTGCAGAGCAAGCTTGAGATTTTCTGCCTTGTTGGTGTAGAGCAAAAACTTTCTTCTTCAGAACTAGCCTTAACTTTTAAAAATAATCTTTTAAATCTTTATCTTTTTAAAGATCAAGGCCCTACAGAAGCACAAGTATTGCCAATTATTTTAACATCATCTGAGCTGACCAAAATTCCCAGCTGGAGGCACAGTTCAGTACTAGCATGGTGGAACTTCTCTAAGTGTGTCTCAGCTCTAGTGGAGCAATGAAGTTACATCAGTTCATACAGTTAAACAGAACAGTGTTAGAGCATGTAAGTGTCATTTCACATTGAATGTGCACATGCCAGAGGGGCCACTCCAGTGTTAATCTCTAGGACTCTGGGCAGAATCTCACCAGCCCTAATATATATTAATATATATTAAAGTGCTCTGTGCAACCTATCTCCATTTGGAGACCTCTTAGTGACAGTTACTCAGCTATCACCTTCTTATCTCTTTTTGCCCCCCTCATATTCAGGGTGAACCACTATGGCAAGTATGTTATGGAGTAAAGCAGTGCTACAGCAGCTTGGAGAGGATCCCTTTTTCTTCAGCAGCCTGTGTGCTTGGAGTTACAGCAGAGCTTGGAGCCCAGGCAAATCACACCTTGTAGGTACAGAGAACTCAGTGAGGCAAATCCATTGCCAGATACAAAAAAAATCAGAAATTTTGTTTTGTTATGGACATTTTTAAAATGCAGAATAGTCAGGAAAGACCAGGCTAAAGCTAAAAATGTTCTCTTTCAATATGTTCCTACACTCCCTGTAGAAATTCAGTATTGTTACACAAAGTTAAGTAGCATGCCCAGTACCACCAAAAATTTGATGCTGCATTCTGACTTGGAAAGGAGTGACCTCATCTTTCTTTGCTGGGGCTGTTAGAAGAGAGACCACAGTCTTAACAGCAGATAGCAATAACACAATAGCAATGATGACAGGCATGACCTGGCTTTGAAAGGGAGCCCAGTAATTCTCCAAGGGTTGTAACTCTGGTTGGATTAAAGAGTGCCTTGGAACAAGCTGCTTAAAATTGCAAATTGCATATGCCATCATCTCTTGCAGATCATAGAGAAGGCAGAAAATGTGACTTGCAGGTACTGGCTAATCATTCTACCCACATGCATAATTACAAGGGACCTGACACTTACCAAAGAGGTTACACTAAATGAACTAAATGGGCTAAATGAACGTGCTGATATTAGATAAGAAACATGTCCTGGCCATTCTAGCTTTCAAGCAGCATCCTAGGATGATTAACATAGGGTAGATGTTTACTGATACACTACTAAAACTTTCAGCCACATGAAAACCTTAGTCAGTCACATCAAAACCACGGAATAGTGTTAGAGCACAACACGTGCACTTAAAAGTGAGAGAGGTTGGTACTCACCCTGGAGAGCACACAGAGAGTGTCACGACTCCACCTGGTCCAGACTTTATATGTCCCTATCTCAAGGTCACTGGTGATAACTGTTTAAAGGCATCAGCAGTTTTCCTCCATGCCTATATTTGTCCACCAGATCCCAGCTGAGGGGACAATGCCTGAGGAGGGGACACTTGTGGCTGTGCCCTGACAAAGCAGGGCAGGAATGTCAGTGGGGAGCGGCACTCTCGTTGCAGACCACCCCTCACCACACCATTCTTGCTCCATGACTTCATGGAAGAAACTTTTCCTGCTTCTGTGTTTTCACTGGGACAAGTATTGCTTTTCCAAGTACCTCAGGAGTTAATTACCATGGGCTTGCGGGTGTGTGTGTGTGTAAATTAAGACTATTCAGACATAACTCCCCTAGAATATGAAAATCAAAGCTTATTGCACAAGGGATAAATGATTATAAAGGGAATTTGGTTACGTGAGCCAAACTGCCTTCAAGCAACAAAGCTAGGATGTGGGTTCTGACATCCCAGCCAAGTGATTTAAATCCCTTTTTAAGCCCCAGGAGTTTAAACACCAAGACTACAGGCTCGGGTTTGGAATACGCAGGTGTTGCCCAGTTTATGAACAAGCAAGACAGTGAAGAAATTTAAGAATGTATTGATTCTGCCTGTAAAGTGAATCACAGAAAATGAACAAAGTAGACATCAATTTTAGTGAGTGCTTTGCTTCAGGAAACTAATTTATGAGACTGAGTTTAGGCAATGTCTGAGCTTCTTATCGTAAACTCATTTTTCCTGTAAAACAAGCACCATGAGTAACTCAGGTCTCATTTCACTGCAACTCATAAATAGCAAAGCAACTGACACATCCAGATTGATTTGCTTTTACCAGCATAGGTAGATATATAGATTTCCTTTGGTCCTAGCGTAAACTGAATATAAAAGCACAAAGGAAAATAAATATTGTGGATAATGCTTGTTGCTCACAGGCGAAGACAATAAATTTGGGCTTTATTAAAACTCAGTTGCCAGGAAGCAAGGAGGGAGCTTATCCACAGCTTCACTGAATTCCTAGATACCCACAGGAACAAGTGGTTTGGTTTGTGACAAGGCACGAAGAAAAATGTCTGCATACTGAGTCTGCTATTTTTAAAGCTGTTGCCCTGATGACTGGACAGTGACAGGTTGCACAGACAAAGCAGGTTTGTAAGAAACAGGAATTTGTGGAAGTGATAGCCTCAAAGACATGAGACTGATGTGGCAGGTCTGAGGATCTGAGTGCTTTAGTAACTTGTTATTTTTAGCATTTGGGGAATGCAACCAAGAGACAGAGAATCACTACTGCTTTGCTAGAGACATGCCCACCTCCAGACAGACTGGAGAAGAGACATGGTAAAGCTAGGGCTGTAACTTTTGGTCCTGGTCTGGATATATCTGTGAAAGGAACCTGTGCTCAGACTGAACATGAGTAGCTTGTGCCATGTTCCAGAGCTCGACTGACTGTCATGCTTAAACCAGAGTTGCTTCCCACCCTGCTGCTTTAGAGGTGCTTGGTGCCCTGCAGCATGGATGTATGTCAATGTCAGACCTAATATCAGACCTAACATCTTTTTCCTTTATATTGGGCAAAAAAAGAAAATAGAGGCAGTGATTTTGGCTGCTTAGTTGAACAGTGAGTGACTGTGTAAACGCAAACAGACACTCCTGATCAGACAGTTTGAAACAAGGTAAATTGAAAACATCACCAAGATTTATGGACACCATTAATCTGTTGTGAAGACTGAGAATATGATTAT